TTTGTTTGGGTGCTGAGCGAGCACAGAGCAGCTTGTGCTCAGGGGCTGCCACAGAGCGTGATGCTGCAGGGCAGTGCAGGTGCCAGGAGGTTGGCTTTGCTGCCCAAATCCTCCCGCACCCAGCTTCTGGGGATGCTCTGCTCCCCCTGAGCGGCTCCGGCTGCGCTGCGGGGCTCAGCCACCCCTGCTGGGCACAGAGCTGGGGGTGCCCTGCTGCTGGGGCACGGTGGGTGCTGCACCCACAGAAAGTGCTCGGCGCTAAAAGAAACTCTGCTGTGCCTCGGGCAGGCCCTCGTGACCCTGCCTCACACCTTCTGCTGATGCTCTGCACACCGAGGGAAGGGCGACAGCTCCGAGCCTCAGCTCGCCAGGGTCCCCGCACACCCCGCCGTGTGCCGCAGGGTGACGCAGCACGAAGCTCCCACCGTCCCCTCCCTGCCAGGGGAAGGGCAGGGTGGCACCTCCCGGGGCTGGTGACACTGTGCCCTGCTGGCCATGGGCTGGGACTGCGGCTTGTGCCCTGATCTGGCTGGGGAGCAGAGCAATGGGGTGGGAAGGAGCCGTGATCTGGGGGGACAAGCTCGCTTGGGAGCAGTCCCAGCCCTCCGGCAGGGTGAGCGCAACAAAGGACAGTGGGGACCCGAGGGTTGGCATCTTGGGGACACCACTGAATGGGTCCTGGCCGTTCTGCAAGAGGGGATGCGGGTGCTGAGGAGGGACCTGGAAAAGGGAAAAGCCCAGGGCAGCCCCAGGGGAGCTGGGGAGGGTGTGAGGGCAGCACCGCAGCTGCCGGGGTCCTGCTGAGGTGCCCTCAGGCTGTGTCGGGTCAGGAAAAAACTTTCTCCAGGGACACGGCTGTCCCTGTGCAGCTGCCCCTGCAGTGCCTCCCGGGTCTCCGTTTGCCCCGCTTGCTTTAAAGGGTCTGCAGCAGGGGGGCTGGCAGCTTGGCTCCCCGGGGAGCGGGCCAGCAGCGGGACAGGCGGCTTTGGGTGGGAGAGGGAGGCAGGGGGAGAGGAAAGCAACGCTGGGGGGAGAGCTGCAGGCAAGGGAGGGCCGAGGGCGAGAAAGGCAGCCAAGCACTCACCGCAGTCTGTGCCCTGGACCTCTCGCTCAGCTCCCAGCCCGCTGCTCGGTGCGCCTGGCCCAGCTCCTGCCGAGTGGCTGACGGCTCCGGGCTGCCCGGCCACCTTGTCTTTTAAAGGTCACAGCCAGAGGACCTTGCAGTAAATATGAGGCGCTGATGGGAGGCTCTGCTCCGGCGTCGCCTCCTCCTCCGTTGGCAGGAGGGCTCTGCCTGCCGCCCCTGGCTCCCAGAGGTTTGGGAGGGGGCCAGGGCAGTCCCTGCGCTGGTGCCAGGGCTGCTCCCTCCCCGCAGGATGCTCCAGGGCAGCCGGGGCCAGCGCAGTGCCTGCTGCATTGTGCCGGAGGCTGCAGCCCAACGCTGCTCTGCTCAGCCCTACCCCGCTCCCCTGCCCACGTGGAGGGAAGCAGGAGCCCTCCTCGGAGAGCAGCCGGGCATTTTAACCCTCCCAGCTCCACCTGTGCAGGGCGAGTGAGGGGGACGCAGGGGCTCGGTGGCTGCTGTGCCCCCCAGCAGGCTGCCGGAGCCCACCTGAGCCTCGTAGGTCGGCTGTCCCCTGGGGCACAGCATGGGATCTGTGCCAGGGACAGACCCACATGGGGCACAGCACCAGCATCTCCCAGTTCTTCACTCCCCAGAGCCAGCCGTGCCCCGAGAACAGCTCCAGGAGCGATCCGCCAGCTGGCCGGACCCCCGAGCCTGTGTCCTGTCCCAGCAGGGAGGTGGCAGCGTCTGAGCAGGGAGCTCTCACCTTCCTGAAACCAGACACGGCAGCCTTGTGCTGGGCTCAGCAAAAACTCGCTGCTGAGCCGCAGTATCCCCGCGCCGGACGTCTCAGCATCGCGCCAAAATCCCGGGTGCCCTTCCTGGCCACGGAGCGCACGGCTGGCGGGGGAGCAGAGCCTGTCCCAGGCCCGCGGTGGCAGCAGATGTCTCAGGAGAGCAGCCAGCCAAGGAGAACTGGCCGGAGCTGCCAAGTGTGACAGCTCCATCAGCCCCGCTGACAGGCAGCAGCCCGCTCCGTGCCCTGGGGCCGCCGGGGCAGGGCTGGCCCCCACCTGCAGCAGGCAGAGGCACAGCCCCGGCTCGCTGCATGCCCCCTGCCTCTGATGGGTGCTCAGGGGGGGGACACAGGGTCCGGGGGGTGAAGGGTCCACAGGGGCTGTAGGGGGCTGCATGGTCCATGGGGGCTGCAGGGGCTGTAGGGGCTTCAGGGTCCCTGGGGGCTGTGGGGTCACCTTGTCCTGGGGGAAGCTGCGCTATGAGCCTGGTTTGTGCCAAGGTTTGTGCCAACACTCACAGGAGACCCTTTATGTTGTCTGGCCCAGCAGTGAGCCTTCACACACCCTCACAGGGGTGCCAGGTATCCCTGCTCCCCTTCACAGCTCTCTGCCAAGCTGCCCCTCAGAGGTGCCCCCCCTGCACCCCAATTAACAAGGCTCTGGCGGATGCAGCGCTCCTCCTGCCGTCTCCTTTGCCTGCCCGCTCGCTGCAGCTCCACTCTTTGAGCTCTGTCCATCACCTGGCCGTCCCCAGCACCTGGCTGTGTTCCTCACCTGGCCGTATCCAGCACGGCCGGGGCCCTCCTGCTGCATCAGCACTCCTCTGCTCGGCGCTCCCGCAGCGCCGGCTCAGGGAAGCCCAGCCCGCTCCGCCGGTACTTTTCCTGCCTCTGCTGCCAGCTCTGCAGCCCTCTGTCCCCAACCCACAGGCACTGCTGGCACTCTCAGCCCCTCAGGATGTCCCAATGCCCTATGACACCTCCTGCTTTCCCCATCCCTTACCCTTGGTGCTCCCAAGTGGCTGGGAAGGAGCTGCAAAGGGGGCAGGAATGGGGCTGGGGGGTCTCTCAAGGTGCCCTGGAGCTGACAGCTTGGATGTGCAGCATCCCACAGCCAGCAGTGACCTGTTCGGGGGATCTGTAGTGCTGTACCCTGCAAGGGGGGAGGGACAGCCTCACCTGGGGAGCCTGGCTGGGACACTGGTGCCTTGTGCCGGGAAGAGGAGCAGCCCCAGACATGGGCAGCGCCGCTCCCCCTCTCCCTTCCCACCACGCCTGGCCTCAGGATGCGTCACCCGCAGCAAATTGCAGCTCGGTGCAGGGGTCCTGCTCTCTAATGGACCGGGGTGGGAAGGTGCAGCTCCATCCTCGCCCTTCGCATCACCGGAGGCCTCCATTAGCGGGGCCCCCGCCACCCCCTGGCGGGGTGCGGTGTGCCCAGGGTTGGCCCTAATGGATGTGCCGGTGGGGAGGCTGCTGGGACGCGAACTTCTGGGCACGCAATTAGCGGTAAGGAGCTCACGGCAGACGAGGGAAGTTTCCGACGCCTCCCCTTTGGCGCCAGCTCTTGCTCCCCGCGCCCTGGCTCCGCGTCCCGCTCTGCGGCCGCAGGGATGCTCGGAGCCTCCTCGGGCTGCGGGGGGGGGCACAGCCGAGGTCACCCTGCTGCTGTGCCCGAGTCCAGCCCTGCCCGGCCCCAGCCCCGTGTTTTTTGGGGGGCTTTTCCCATTACCAAACGATGCCGGGGGGGCGACCTGGGGACACCCCGGGGGCGTGCGGGGGCGCGGCGAGGGGCGCGGCGGAGGGCGCAGCGCCGCCTCCTCCTCCTCCTTCTTCTCCTCCTCCTCCTCCTCCTCCTCCTCCTGCTTCTCCTCCTTCCCCCCGGCCCGGCTCCGCCCGGCACGGCTCGCCCTCGGCGGGGGCGGCCAGAGCCGGGCGCTGCGGGCAGCCGGGCCCCCCCCGCGCCGCAGCCATGGCCCCGCGCCCCGCCGCCGCCTCGCCGCTCCTGCTGCCAGCGCTGCTGGGTAAGGGCCGGGGGAAAGCAGCAGCAGAAACAGCAGCAGCAGCTGGGGGACCCGCCGCCCTGGGGTGTCCCCCCACCCACCCATCGCCACCCCCAAAACGGGGGCTCCCCCCGTCCCGGCGCCCGCTTTTTGCCTGCGCCGCGAGGAGCCGGCGGCCGCTGCGCGCTAACGGCATCGTCTCTGCTCCGCAGCCCGAAGCACCGAGGATAAGGGACTTGTCCAAGGTGACTTCGCAGCAGGGGCCGGGAGAGGGCTCCGAAGTGCCTCCTGCAGCCCCTGCCCTGCCCGCAGCTCCCGGCGCCCCCGCTGCCTCCCGCCGGCCCCGCTTTGCCCCGCTCGGTGCGCGGGGTCCGCTGCCGGCACCCGCCGGGGGATGGCCGGAGGGAAGCAGATGCTGCCGCAGCACGCCCGCCCGCAGGTCGTCCTTTTACAGTCCCTTTTGTAAAAGAGCCGCCTGCATGCGCTCCTGCACTGCTCCGGTGAGCCCGCACCGCCTGGAGCATGAGCCCAGCCCCGGGGCCGGGAGGTCCCCGCTTCCCCCGGGGACACGGAGCAGGAGGGGGCTCGCAGCCCTCCCCTCCCTGCTGCAGCCCCTGGGATGCTTCCAAGCCTCCTGCATCAGCCCTCGCCCACCGCTGCACCCGTGCTTGCATTGCTCGTCCTGGGGCCGGTCCTGGTGCTCGGGGGGGCACAGGGAGCCTGAAAGCCGAGGCTGCGTTTGCAGCGCTTGCTGTTGGGAAACTCCCTTGAAAGGTGTTTTAGAGGGCACAGCCCTTAGGATTATTCTAAGTGAGCTGGAGATGCACAGAGCCGTGTAAGTACCAGGCTGCCTGCGGGCTCTGGGTGCTGTTCCCTGGTGGCAGTGCCCCGGCTCCCTGCGGTGCCAGCTGCCAGCGTGGGGCTGGGAGAGACTCGGGGGTGCTGGGGACCAGGGAACAGGGGGGGGAAGATGGGGACTTGTCCCCCAGGCTGCTGGGGTGGGCTGGGAGGGGAAAGGGGGGGGGGGTGTTTGTGGTGCTTGGGGTGCTTTGGGACTCCCCAGGGACTGGCTCCAGGCTGCACAGGGGAGCTGCTGTCGGTGCCCACGGGCAGGGGCAGTCCTGGCTGTCCTGCCAGGCCTCGGGATGCTTCCAGCTCCCTTTTAGCCCGTGCAGACAGGAACCTGGGCAGCCAGGCACGGCTTGCTCTGTGTGCCAGGAGCTCACATTGATTTTTATGGGCAATGGAAGTTTTTATGGAGCTGCTTTTTTTGCGGATGGTGGAGGCATCCGGCAGCCGTCCAGGCTGAAGCCCGTGTGCTCAGCAGGGCCGTGGCTCCCAGCCCCTCTTGCTGATGATGGGCTGCAAGCAAAGTGCCCCCAGCTGTGCGGGGAAAGTCTTGCCGTGGGCTGCTGCTGCTTTCTCTTGCCCCAAACGCCCACCCTGGGGCCAGAGCAGAGAGCAGGCAGCCAAGGCTCTCAGTAGCAGGGCTGCTGCTCCCCTGTCCCCGTGTCCTGTTCCCCTGGGCAGGGGAGGCAGCCCCCAGGCAGGGGCTTTCCCTCTGCAAGGAATGGCCCCGAGGGGTGCAAAGCAAGGGTGCTGGGGTCCAAAGCGCAGCAGCTTTGGGCATGTGGAGAAGTAACAGTGGCAGGTGGTGTGGCAAGTGGGGGCAGCGATCTGCCCCGCGTTTCCTCTGTGCTTTATTTAGTGGTAACTTATCGCCTCTCTTCCTGAGACCACAGCCTGACAGGAACAGGATCAGCCTCCGTTTGCCCCGTGCATGCAATTCAGGTTACACTGCTGATGTTAGAACCGGGGCAGGCGGGATTAAAAGTGTCACGAGCTGCAAAGAATCAGCTTTCCTGCGAGTAACTGTCCCCGTGCAGCACCCTGCTGGCCCCAGCACCCCTGCAGAGCCAGGCTCCCGCCCCTAAACCTTGCTGCAGGCGCCAGCCCCTGTTCCTGGGACACTCCTGGCCGTGAAGCCCTCCTGTAGCATCCCTGGGGCTGGGCTGAGAGCCGGGTGAACGCACGAGCTTCTGTCTGCTGGGAGCAGCTCTGTGGTGCCGGAGGAAGCCTCGGTAGCAGAACACGAGGTGCTTCTTGGTGAAGTTAAGTAACTCTTCCCCTGCAGTGCTCGCGCTGCAGCACTGCAGCAGGGCCCGAAGCCCAGGATGCAGGGCTCTGGGCTTGGCTTGGGCTGCGACGTGCCTGGGGAGCTGTTAGCACGGGCATGTGGGGGAGAATAAATCAGCAGCCCGGGAGGCTGTGGGGAGCAGAGCCTGAAGCTGCGGGCAGCTCCTCGGAGCTCCAGGGGCCGGGGGGGCGAAGTGCCCGAGTCCCCGGGGAGAGCTTTGTGGGGAGGGGTCCCCTCGGTGTCCCAGGTCTGGGAGCGGTGTGCAGGGTGCTTGGTGGGGTTGTTGTGAGTGGGGCTGCTCCCCCAGCCCGGAGCCAAGCACCCCCTGCCCACAGGGAAGGGGTTTTGTGGTGCTGGGGCCATGCACAGGACTGCTCAGCTGCTCCCCGTGGGGGACCCGGCAGCTGTCGGAGGCGCTCTCGGCTCTCCCAGCTGGGCTCGTACCGGCTCCCTCGAAGCACTGCTATCTGCCAAGGCTCGGGCGAGCTGTGTCCTGCTCTCTGAAGGTCGCCCCCCAGCACAGGCTCAGCTCGACGAGGCCGGCAGGAGGGGGGCTGCTCTGCCTGGTGAGCGCGAGCCCTTCGCCGGGGTGGAGGACGGGCAGGCTGGCGGCTGCCCAGGGCAGAAATACTAATTAGTGCGGGAGCTCCTTGTGTGCGGAACAGAGAGCTCGGCTTGGCTTTCGGCTTTTTTCCCACACACACTTTAAGGCTTAGCTGGAGGAGTTGTGGATAACAACTTCTGTGATGATAACAGGCGCATCGCGGCTTTGATTTGCGTCCTTATCTTTGGTGACGTTCTGGATCCCTGCGAATCTGCGCTGTCTGAAGGCAGCAGACAGCCGGGCTCCTGCAGGAGCAGGACGTGGGGCTGGGGCAGAAGCGTTTGCTGTCCCACACTGCTGCAGCACACAGCTAAGGGGACAGCAGCACAGCCCCGCCGTGCTCTGGCCGTGCCGGCGCCGTGCCCTCACGCTCTGCTCCCTGCCAGGTTTGTCCGTCCTCGCCATCGCCTTGGCCCTGGAGGTGTCCGTGGGGAAGACCAACACTGTGACGGCTCTGAATGGCTCCGACGTCCTGCTGCCCTGCACCTTCGCCACCTGCATCGGCTTCCAGGACCTGGTCTTCACGTGGTATTTCAACTCGACGGAGATGGTGGGTGGCTCGCCGGGCTTTGCCTCTTCTCCTGGCAGGGCCTTTCCAGCGATGCCGCTGCCGAGCAGCTCGGGGGCTCTCAGCTGCCTGCCCTCCTCCTGCAGGATGCTCTCCTTCCGAGCAGGCTCAGCTCTGGGGGAACAGGGCGCTGCGAACAGGGGGACTGGAGCACCCGTGCATGTCTGTGCTTTTGGAGTAAAGCTCTTCTGCTCTTTCTGCTGCCTCCAGGCTCCTTTCTTTCCATAAACGGGTCATAAGTTGGCTGTTCAGGTGCAGGTCCGCACTTAGGGCAAAATACGGTTGATTTGCTCCTCCTCCGCTTGCTCTGAGATGCTAAGGGCTGCTCAGATTTGCTTCCTGCTGGGCACGCTCTGCTCTTCAAGCAGTTTGCAGGAGGGCTGTTGGGAGCAGCTCGGTGCTTAGAGCCCGAGGAAAGGCACCTCTCCTGCCCCGGTGCTCCTGCTTGTGCATGGTCCGTGCCGTGGCTGCAAGAGTGGCTGGCCTGCGGTGCCGGGGGCGCCGGGGTCCCCCCGACCCCGCCGTGCCGCACCCCTGCCCCTGCAGATCTACCACGGCAAGATAAAGAGCAAAACCACCGAGCCCTTCCTGGTGAGCCGCAACCCCCGGGTGGAGTTCGTCGGCTCGACGACGGGGAAGGACAACAACATCTCCATCGTGCTGAAGGACGTGGAGCTCAGCGACGCCGGCAAGTACACCTGCCACGTCAAGAACCCCAGGGAGAAGAACGCGCAGCACAACGCCACCATCATCCTCACCGTGGTCCACAAGAGTAAGTGCCAGCCTTATGGGGGTCCCGCTCCTCCGAGCGGCGGGGGCGAGAAGCCGAGGTGCCCCCAGGGCTCCTGGTCGTGGTGAGGTGCAGGGTCCCTCAGGAGCCCCCCACCTCGTCCTGAGGTCCCTCTGCTCCTTGTCCCTGGCAGTGGAGGAGACGGACAACACCCTGACGCTCATCATCGTGGGCGTCGTGGGGGGGGTCTTCGGCCTCCTCATCCTCTTCATGCTCGTCAAGAGGGTCATCCTCTTCATCATCAAGAAGGTGCAGGATGGGAAGTGAGTGCGGGCGCCGGTCCCTTGGGGATGCTGCCGGGGAGGGGGGGTGGTTTTGGGGGCCGGGGGTAGTCAGCAGCCGCGTGCTCTCCCCCAGGAAGGAGTGCCTGGTCAGCTCCTCGGGCAACGACAACACGGAGAACGGCCTGGCGGGCTCCAAGGCGGAACAAAAAGCCCCCCCGAAGGCATGAAGCAGCGCACGGAGCCCCCGGCCCCCAGCAGGGCAGGGAGCCGGGCTGGGGCTGGGGGGGAGAAGCCTCTCCCGTTCGTTTCCTTTCCGAACTGCCGACGCTCGAGACACGTTTCTGTTACACACGTGCCTGCAACCTGCACTGCTTCTGGGACACGGCTTCGGCGGGGACGGGGGCATCCTGCAGATGGGGACAGCGTTGGGATGAGGCAGCCCCCTGCCCTGCCCTGCCCTGTGCCCAGGAAAGTGGGGCTGGGTGTTTGGGGAGCCCGCGGTGGGTGCTGTGTGGGCCGTGCACCCCTGGGTGCAGGGCAGGGGGTGGCCGGGGGTCCCGGCGTGCCCGGGGGTCGGGGGTGTGATGAGATGGGGGTGTCTCGCTTGGGTCTGATGCTGAGCTTTGTGTGGGTGGTTTTGGGAGCAGGGTGAGGGTGCACGAAACTCGCCGTGGGGATGGAGGTGCTGCGGAGGGTCTGGCACGTGGGGCAGAGCCAGGGGGAGCGGGGCTGTGGGATCGGCTCGGCTTCAGCTCCTCGGCTGGCGCCCCACGAGGGGTCCCCTCCCCGGGCTGGTGTCGGTTCTGCCCTTCCTCACCCCCCCCTCCTGAAGCAGGGATACTTCCAGTGCCGAGGCTTGACTCATTAGGCAGATATTTTTATATCAGATTCCCCTGGGAAAAGGGCTGGCTGCATTTCCCTCTCCTGGAGGAAATCTGTGGCACGGTCGGGCCCTGGCGGTGGAGCTCCTGGTCCTGCCACGGGCTGGTGGGGTGACCCTGGGGCCTCGCCATGCCTCAGTTTCCCCGTCTGTAAAAGGGGATAAGAGCAGGGCTCACTGCGGGGCTTCCTTGGCTGACAGCTGAGAGGTGCTCAGGGAGCTGGGGGTCCTCATGGGGGGTGCCTGGAGCAGCAGCGTTAGGGGACTGGGTGCCTGCTGTTGTGCTGGCCCCGTGCAGGGGACCCCAAAAAGCCTCCCTGGGCTCTTGAGGAAAGGAGAAGTGTAACACAAAACCAGCCTTCATCCCAAGGGCTGCAGGCATGGAACACCGAGGGGACGAGTTAACCAGTTCAGGTTGTCCTTTAGGGCGCGATTTGTTCCCTGCCACTTTCCCCTCCACCCGCCGGGGCAGCGTGGGGCTGTTCCCAGCCCCTTCCCTGCAGCACGAGGGGAGCAGTGCGAGGATTTGGGGGCAGAGCAGAGGAGGACAGCTGGGGGCTGCCCTACCCAAGGGACACGTGGGGACAGTGGCCTGGGGCAGGTTTCCTCGGCTGCTGGCTCCCAGTCCCCCCCTGCTCCTCGGGACCCCCAGGCGATCCACTGGTTGCTGTTCTTCAGTCTTCCCACCTGTGAAATGGGCGCAGCAAGCCCCATTTCCCTCCCGGGGGGTGCGAGGCTCCCCGTGCTGCTTTGCCACGTGCTCCGAGACCCCAGGGCGCAGGGCAGGGTGCTGCCGAGGGCTGTGGGGTGCCCTGGCCACGCATGAGAGCTTGGGAGGAAGCCTGAGACCTCCCCGCTGCCCCCCCTGAGCCCCCAGCCCACCCTCGCAGAAAGGGGAGAGGATGGTGAGGGCAGGAAGGGATTTTTTTTTTTTTTTAAAGAACTGTTTTTAGCTGTCCTAACCCGTCAGCCTTTTTGGGACGGGGCCTGGCTGCAGCGCCGCGTAGCGCGGGCTCTGCATGGATCGCAACCCTGGCTTGGTGGACGGCACCAGCATCACCAGTTTGGGAAACGCAGCTCTGTCCATGCACGTGTGTGTGTGGGTGCTGGGCTCGGGGGGGCCAGAGGGGCTCAGGCCAGCTCTGCTGGGGCTCCCCTCAGCCACGGGGGCTGTGCCAGGGCGAAGGCACGGCCGGGGGGTGAGCTGTGATGGCCACATCCGTGTGTAAGCATATATAACACATGTAGGGATCCCTGCAAACCCACGCAGGGCGTGCACCACACGCTCTGCGACGACTTCTGAGGCATTTTGCACCGTAGGGGGTTAGTTAGCTTTGCCTTGAGTGAAATAAAGTTTGAGTTGACCGGGAACCTCTCCGCCTGCGCCTGCTGCGGGTGGTGGTGGGGCTGGGCAGCGGCAGCTGGGGGGCTGCTGGTCCTGGGCTGGGGGCTGCTGCTTCCCAGCAGGGGGCACAAAAATGGTCCTGAGAGCACGTGGGACAAAGCCTTCCGAGGCTGCGTGGAAAAAAAAAACACAAATCCTTTCCTTTAATGGGGATAGCACAACCATCAGCTCTCTCTGTAAAACAATAACGAGCAAACAGCAGCGTTGAGCCCAACAGCGCAGGCTCAGCACAGGGCAATAAGTTAACCTCTCTCCGGGAGGGAGCTTGAGCCGCTCGGATTCCTTCGTGGTATCGGTGGCCGCTGCTCCGAGCTGCCCTTTGCCTCCTTGGCTGGCCCCTGGTGTCCTCAGCCACGGAGCCAGCGAGGGCTCGGGAGGCACCGCGCGGCTCCGGCACTGAGCTTGGTCCCAGCTGCTGCTGGAGCCGAGGCAGCCAAGAGCACAGGGACGGGGAGGGAGGCTGGGGGGGACCTGTCCCGGCAGGTCTCAGAGCTCTGACTGGAAGCAGAGAGAGAACGAGAGAAGGAATTGCAGAGGGCAGCTTAAATAGTCACGTCCTTAAGGTGCTGGTTGGGTTCCCAACAACCCCGGCACCCCTCGTGCCCCAGCACCCCCCGTGTCCCACCACCTCACTTCCCCTCCCTGCAGAGCCACCGAGGAGCCCGTGGCCACCCCGAGCCACGTGCCAAGAGCCACAGACATCGCTGCCGGGGTGCTGGCTTTGGGCACTGACCCTGCGGACGGCGTAGATCCAGTTGAGGTAGGCTCGGACACTGGTGTAGACGCCGGGTGTGCTGGGGGTGCCGCAGCCCTGGCCCCAGCTGACGATGCCCACCACCTGCCAGTGCCTGCCCAGGTACATCAGGGGCCCGCCGCTGTCCCCCTGGGAAGGACAAGAACCTGAGCAGGGCCAAGAAGCCCTGGCACAGTCGGGGACGCAGAGCTCTGCCCACCCAGAGCTCAGTTCCCAGGGCTGGGAAAGAAGTGGGTAAACCCAGCGCTGTCAACACCATCCCAAATCCCTGCGGCTCTCCCCTGGGGCTGGTTTGTCAATAGATGGGGAGGAACCGGCCCCTTCTTTGGGGAGCAGGCCCCCGATAGCTGCTCGGTGCCACCCCTCACCTGGCAGGTGTCCACCCCGCCCTGCGGCACGCCGGCGCACAGCATCTTCTCCGTCACCTCCCCGTGGTACGCAGCCAGGTTGCAGCTCGTGGTGTCGACCAGCTTCACCTCCGCCTGCTGCAGGGTCTCCGACAGTTTCCCTGCACAAAACGCAGCGTGGCCAGCTCAGGAGAGCCAGGAGCAGGGAGGAAGGGTGCTGCTGGGGGGCTCTGCCCTCCTCCCGGGGCGCATCCCTCGATGCCGTCCCGCTCACCGTGCTCCTTCGTGTAGCCCCAGCCTGTCACCCACAGGGACGTGCCTGGCACCAGCTCCTCGTCGAAGTAGGGCAGGCAGATGGGCTTGATCCTGTCTGCAAGGCAGGAGGCGTTGGGTGAGGTGCCCCTGCCCAGCCTGGCCTGCACCCCATGCAGCCAGCACAGCGCGGGCAGTTCCTGCCTCGATCCCCCCACACCCCATGCATGGGAAGCCCAGGACCCCAGGTGCTTGCACAGCCGGGTGAGAGGTGCTGAGAGGCATTTAGGTGCTAAGGCAAGGTGCTCCCTGCACCACCGCTCGGTGCCTTGGCCACCTTCAGCCTCGCTCTCCTCGCCCAGCCCCTCGGGGGCGATGTGCACCACTGTCTCACCTGAGACCTGCAGGGGGGACTGCAGCTTCACCAGGGCGATGTCGTTGTCCTTGGGGGACGGCGGCGTCACCTCGGCCAGGAAGACCTTCTCCACAGCCAGGGTGACGGAGCCCGAGAGGAGGTCGGAGCCGGCCTTCACTCGCCAGTTGGGAATGACGGGGTTGTTCCTGGGCACGGACACGCGTTAACCCTCCTGCCTTTCCCCTCCGTGCCTGCACCCTCAGCATCACCCAGCTGTGATGGACCAGGGGGCACAAAGCCCTGCGCAGGCCCGTTAATTAGGGAACATTTAATCAACTCACGGCCTCAACCTCCCACCAGAGAGAGGAACCTGCCCTGGGGAGCTGACGGAGCCCCGGCACGGCGCGGTGCCACATGCAGGGGCTGACTCACTTGAAGCAGTGCGCCGCGGTGAGGATCCAGCCGGGCTCGATGACGCTGCCCCCGCAGATGTGCTCCGTCCTGTACTGCAGGCTCACCTGCCACGGCCACCACTCGATGGCCGCCGGCCTCCCGCCCAGCACACGCGGTGTCCTCGCGCTCTCGCCGCAGCCTTTGGCCGGGCGGCGCGGAGCGGGGGCAAAGCGAGACGTTAGCTGTGGCAGGGGGGAGCAAAGCAGCCCGTGCTCTGCTCTCCTCCACCCACAGAGCACCCTCTGAGGTTCTCCTGCCCAGGCACCTCACCCCTCGTGATGCTGCCTGTGCCACCCCGTGCTGGGACACTTGGCACCCCCCCGTTTTGTTCTCTGTTTGCACTGCTCATCCCAGCCTTCCCTCCGCTGAGCCACCAGCTGGCTTTGTTTCCTCGGGGTAATTCATCACCAAAAGTAAACCCATCCGGGCAGCCGGGTGAGCCCCTCCTAGGTGTCTCAATCTTTTCTGCCAGCTTAGCAGCACTTTAATCTAACTTTTCTTGTGCAGGGAAGGGCCGGGATGAGGGCCAAGCCCAGCTCTCGAGGTACAAGGGGCTGTGCCGGGAACAGCAAGAGGCTTCGCACACCCGCAGGGCGCAGCCAGGTCCCCGTACTTACTGGAACAAACGAGCGAAACAACCGATCCGGAGAGGCATTTCCTGGAAGAGGGAGGAAAAGGGCTGGGTTCGGAGCAGGAGCGGCCCCGGCTCGGCGCCGGGCAGGCTCCCACGGGTGGCACAGCCCCAGCGGGTGCTCACCTGCCCGGCTCGGGCACCTGCAGGCTGCCATCGCTCAGCACCAGCTCGCGGGGAGGCAGGGGCTGCCCCACGCCCGCATCCACTGCTCGGAAGCTTGGGGTGCTGGAAGAGAGGGGGCGAGGGTCAGAGCATGGCGCGGGGGTGCACGGCCCCGGCTCCTGGTGGGGGTGTTGGGAAAGGGCTGGGGCTGGGGCTGGGGCTCCCCTGGGAGCCTGGGAACCTGGTTTGTGGCTTGGATTGAGCCAAAGGTGGGGGTATGAAGTCCTAAAGGGGTGGAGGCTTCACAGGCAGGTCCCAAATACAGGGAGGGAAGGTGAGGGGTGCGGCGACGGCAGCCCCCCACCTGCTGTAGCCCATTTGCTCGCACGCTGCCTTGGCCAGGGCCAGGTTGAAGTGGTCGTAGCAGACGCAGGACCAGGCTCCCGTGTTCCTGTTGAGCACCTGCAGGATGGATCTGTCCCTGGAGACGCGGGCTGCAGGGAGGCACACAGGTCATCCTTTGGCAGGGGGGGATTTGGGGAGGCAGGGGCTGGCTGCAGCAGCTGCAGGCAGGGTTTTTATAAGGTGCCCGGGGCTCACCGCCAGCCTGCGGCCCCTCGGGGACGTGCTGGGGACAGCTGGCCTCGTCCTCGCCGTGCAGGCAGTCTGCCTCCCCGTCGCAGACCCTCGCCAGGGGCAGCAGCCTCAGGGGCTGCTTGCAGAAGAAGTAGTGGTACTCCAGGTAAGCCTTGACTGGGGGCAGACGGGGAGCTCAGCACCGAGCTGGCTCAGCAGGACGGTGCCACAGCCGCCCCCGGCCGAGCCAGGAGGAGGGAGAGGGGAGCAGGGGCGCACCCAGGAGCCCGATCCCGGCCAGGCAGGCGAGGCTCAGCACGACCACCAGCACGGGGATGCCGACACGCATGCAGAACCGCCGCACCGAGCAGGTTTTGGGTCTGGTGCTGGGACCTGCAATGCAGAGTTGGGTGGTCCTGCCCTGCCTGCCCCCCTCCCAGCACCCCGGGCCCCGTGGGCATTACCTCCGCCGCCGTTCAGCCGCTCGGAGGCTGGGTCCTGCAAAGCAGAGAGGAAAAGCAGTCAGTGAGGTGGAACGGCAGGGAAAAGGGGGCGGCAGCTGGGGAAGGGGCTGCAGCAACGTGCCATGCTTGCCCCGTGGTGACAGCTACACCGAGTGTCAGGGGGAGGGCAGCCAGAGAGCACCAGAGAGCATCTGCTCGGTCACAGATTTGCTGTCCTAATGCAACGCAGGCTGAAAACTCCAGGTTTGATGAAAGCACCGCTTCCTGATGCACCAAGAAGCCCTGACTCAAACCGCAGGTGCCTGCCGGGCTGTGCCACCCAGACATGTCACCGCGGGGTTTTGTTCCTCAGCCAGCCCAGCTTGGGGACAGAAACCCAGCGGCACAGCCCCATTGTGCTCCAGTGAGCACGGCTGTGCTCACACGGGGCTGGCAGAGCTGCCACCGGGAACGAGGGCTCTGGGGGGGCCGTGCTGCTGCTAGGAGACACGGCAAACACAGCCGGGCACGGATCCTGCTCTGTTCCCTCCCGGCTCTGTCCGTGCCAGCTCCTGCTGGGGGATGCCCAGCTGCAGGAGGGAGGCTCGCGCAGGCACCTTGCCTGGTGTGGTGCTGGGCTGAGCTCGGAGCCCCGCTGGGTGGGTTTCAGGCGGACCCTGCGTGTTCCTCCCACCCGTCTTTGTGCCGTGCAGCTCGCTGCTGCTTCCTGACGGTGTGCATTTTGTGAGCAGGCTCCTGCCTTCGGACTCAGCAGGGCGCAGCTCTCCTGCGCCCCATTTAGTGCTCATCCAGCCCAGAGTCAGACCTCTTCTTTAGCTGCTGCTTCTGGACCCCACAGGTAAGCCTTGAGATTTTTTGCAGGGCCTGGACCCAGCGTGACGAGAGGTAAAGGAGACAAAATCACTGCAATAATCCCACGGATCCGGGCTGTGAAGAGCAATTCAGGACGGCTGGAGATGCACGAACGGAGCCGTGCCCTGGCCCCGGGTTAACACACCGATGGTTTCCTCCCCGTCGTGGCCCCGCTGCACTGCTCGGGCTGCTGCTTTGGGCTGCTCCGGTGCTCGGGAAGGAGAAATGTCCTGTGCTGGGCAGGGCCGGATCCTGCCTCTGCTGGTGGGGCCGTGGGGCCGTGTCTGAGCCCTCTGCAGCCTGGGTCCCCTGGACAAATTCCCTGGAGCCGGCTCCTTATGGGCATGCACGGTGCCTGCAGCACCCCAGGGAGTTTTGCAACGCCGGCCCGGCTTGCTCCCAACGCCACCTCCAGCCTCCAGCGGAGCCGGCCGAGGGCGCGCAGGGCTGGTCCTTCCTGATGCTGGTCTCCTGTGTCACCCCGGGCTGGGGATGGCCCCGATAATGGGATGCTAACGGTTCCTGCTGGAACGGTCCCAAGCCGAGGGGCAGCGGGGGTGCAGGGCAGAGCCAGGTGGAAGGGGTGATGAGGAGGTGCTGCTGTTTGCAGTGAGCATTGTCCAGTGGGGATTTGGTTTGTATTTCAGTCCAAGAGTATCCTCACTACAAAATGGACCTCTCCAAGAGCACCCACTTACCCCCAAAGCCACCTAAAAGCACGAGCTGCACGGGTTTCATTCAAAGCAAGAGCCGAGGCAGCTCCTGCAGGGGGTGTCAGCACCCAACCGCCTTGGGAACCCCCTGCTGCCATAGCTCCTTGTGCTCCCCTGCCCATTGTCTGGCAGAACATGAATCCAGCTGTGACCCCCTTGGCTGGGCGAGCACAAACACCAGCCCAGGGGCCGTGGGGACCTCGATGAGTTCTGTGCTCCTGAGCAAGCGCAGGGGGGATGCTCCTGCCCCAAATCAGATCCAGGACGGGTCCCTCGGTCCCTCTGAGCCCGGTAACCCCGTGGCTGCAGGGGATTTAACCACGGCTGGGTGCGGGTGTTGGTCTCACACAGGGGCTGAGCTCCTCGTCCCGCTGTGTCACCGCTGGAGGGTTTCGAGGTGCCACAGGCCGGGCCACGCACGGCTGCTCCGTCAAGGGAGGCTTTTCCCTCCCGGGGAGGGGCTGCGTGCCAGCCTGGGGCTTGGTGGCTGGAGCTGTGCTTGAGGAAAAACAAGAAAGCTCTGCGGAAAGCAGCTCTCTGCACGTCCCCTGCCCTGCGAGGCGAGCGGAGGCACCATCCATGGAGCTGCCCGGGAACCAGCCCTCTGTGGGGCCAGGCGCTCCGGGGTGCGCGGTGCCTGCCCTGCCTGCCCCCTGCTCGGGGACAGGGCCAAGGGAAAAGTCCTGGGGACGCTTCTACCCCCACGGCAGGGTGCTGCTGCTGCAGGTAAAGCCCTGCCCTGCCCGGATGGCAGCAGCTCTGGGCCGGGGCTGCCTCTTTACCCCTGTGAGGTGGGTGCCAGCATGGGGCCCCCCAGCAGTGGGGCTGTGGGCGGCGGTGGCACCGGCTGCCTGTACCCAGGGGAAGGAATTGGGGGCTCGGAGAGGGGCAGAAGAGGGGGAGCGGGCTGCCAGGCACTCACCATGTCCATCCAGCTCCTGGGGGGTCTTCTGTGCACAGAAACCCAGCAGAAACCCTGGGCACGGGGAGGCCGCGGGTGCCCCAGTGCCCAGGGAGCTGGGGCCGGGGGTGCTCCCAGCGCCCCGTGCCGGCGCGGTGCTGACACTGGGGCAGAACCGCCCGAGCACTCCTTAAAACCCACAAGGGGAGTTGTGAAACAGGAATTATGATTTGTATTGTAATATAACACCGGTCTATCAGCAGCACCATCACCTCTGCTAATCTCTGGAGGATCGACCGCTGCGCGGTGACTCACCCGCGGGGCCACTGTCACAGAATAAGTTACTGAGTGAGCCGACCGACAGAGCAGGATTTTTTCGTGCCCCTCTCCCGATGATGAGAGGAACCACAGCCTCCCCGCTCTTTGTCCAGCTCTTCCGCATTGTGCTGGGCTGTTTTAAATACAGATTGTTGTAGGTGGAGGAGGAAAGGAGGCGAGGCGATGTGCGAGGTTACCGGACCGCCGCATGCCCCTGCCTCTAAGGTCACTCGGTCTGCCTGTGCCTGCAGCACCAGCGACGTGGGGAGCAAAGCGAGAGCTGCTGGGGAGGTGACCCATGGGTGCGGGCAGGCTCTGGCCCCGTGGGTGCTGCTGCTGCTGCCCCGGGCTGGCTGCAGGACCCCAGTGAGCTGGATGCTGCAGAGGTTGCTGGTGGCCTCTCCAAAGAGAGGGCTGGGGTCAGGGAGGCTGCAGCTCGCTCTCTGGCCCCACTCCTGGCCTGGTGCAGGCTCCTGCTGGAAGCGGTGGGTGTGCAGGGCTTGCCGAGCAGCTGCTTGCCTTCTCCTTTTGTAACCGAGCTTTCCCAACAGCCGGAGAGCTGCTGCCAGCTGCGAGCACTGTGCCAGCGGGAGGGCTGTGGAGCATCACGTCCCTGCAGCTCCTGGCCCCGGGACGTGTCCCCTCCCCGTGCCAGGTCCCCGGTGCAGCCCGGACCCTGCCTGCCCTGGGGACTCTTCGCCTGAGCAGGGATCCTGGCATCCTCCTGCAGGTAAGGGGCGCTGCTCCCGTGCTCTCTGGGGAGGATCTGGCCCCCTTAGGGTGTGGGGGGACACGGGCAGGCTGCAGCCTCATCCCTGGCTGCGTGGTCCGTGTGGGGTGGTGGGGGCAGCAGCAGCTGGCAGGGATCTGGTAGGAGCTGATCCTCCCCTGATTTGGTGCTGGGGTGGGAGCTGAGGGCTTGTGGGCTGGTTTCGGGGCTGTGCACGGTGGTGGGAATCGGGGCAGAGCTCACGTCTGTGCCACAGCAGGCCCTGGCTGGGCTGGTGGAGGCAGAGAGTGGCTGGGGGGTTTTAGTGGGCAGCAGGGTGGAGTGAGCTCTCCAGGCCCACCCTGAGCCACTGCCCATTTTCAGGGACCAAACTGTCACTTAGAAGCCCAAGCAGCCCAAGCGGTGGGTGCTGCCAGGCCAGCAGGGATGGGGCAGAGGCTCAGCCCCAGGTGCAGAGCTGCAGCCCCATAGAGACCCCCTCGCAGCGTGGGGCAGACCCCAAGAGCATCCCGGTGCCCAGCGCCGTCCCCCTGCCCCAGAGCAGCCGTGGGGCAGGAGGTGGCAGCGCAGGGAGCGGCTCTTCCTCTTCTGAGGTTAGGCGAAGGCTTTGAGGAAGGAGCTGAGGTTTGCAGATGTTATGTCACAGCCCCGAGCGCCTGCAGGGCTTTGCTTCCTGGAGCACGGCTGCTTCCCAGCCCCAGCCATGCTCACCTGGCCTCTTCCCTGCGAGCCTCGGGGTGACACAGGACACGTCTGGGGTCAGGCAGGGGCCAGGCAGGGCTGGTCCTAGTCTCTACGGGGCTCCTTGGGTGCTGCTGAGGCCTTGGGTCTGCAGCACCTTCGTCCCCAGTGCCTCCCCATCCTGCCCAGGAATCACCCCACAGTCCTGGTGCCGATGGGGACGCTGCTGGGGGGGGATCCCTGTCCCTCGGGCTCCCCGCGGTGACAGCAGGGACCCGATCCTGTCCTCAGCAGGAGCACAGAGCCGCCTGCGTGGGCACGCATCGCCCCCAGCCCCGCAGGGAGGGGAGGCCGGGCGGGGGCACAGGCAAAAAGCCTCATCCCTGGCGCGAGGGCGCTGCCTGCCAGGGCTGCTCTGCTTTCTCCCCTGGGAACCAGTCGAGCCGGCGGGCGAGGAGCGGTGAGGTGGCAGTGTCACCGGGCCAGGAGGGGACAGGCAGGACGCGCCAGGCTCTGCTGCAGCAGCTCCCAGCACAGGCAGCCTCCAGCAGCTCTGTCGGGCAGCGGGGGATGGACCCCAGGGCAGGTAAGCAGACGGCACTTTTCTCCGCATGCTGAGCGGAGGTGGAGATGTTTTACAGCACGAGCAGGGGCTTGGGGACTTTCCCCTGCCCTCTGCTCTCCTTGGGGTCGGGGTGTTGAGGTCTGGCTGTTCCCCTGGCTGTGCCACGGTGCGGTGCTGCCGCTGCTGGGTGCACGGAGGTCAGGGCAGGGAGCAGCTCCCGGGCGGAGGGCAGAGGCCGGGCACGGAGCCGGGCACGGAGCACGCCCTCGTCCTCCCGGCAGCAGCAGGCGTGGGGAGAGGGCAGTTTCGGCAGCCGGCTGATTCAGGGAGCCGATTGCACCACGCTCATCCTGCCCCGCAGCTCCCACTGAGTCACTCCAAGAGCAGACTCCCTGCCCTCAGAGCCCTGCTGGGGTCCCGGGGCTCCTGGCTCGCCCCCGGCCCAGCAGGAGGAGGACATCCAGGGGCTGCCCCGTGTCCTGCAGCCCGCCGGGACGCTGCAGCAGGAGGACAGGGCAGGCTGGTCCTGCTCGACTGCTGCGCGCCCCGAGGGCTGGCGGCACGATGCACTGCTGCTCCCCGCGGCTGCCACATCCCATCAGGTGGAGCTGGGACATCGCTCGCTGTGTAAACACCGTGACCACAGGGGAAATGTTCTCACCCCACCGGCATCTGCCTAAATTTAGCTGCTCTTAGCTCATCCCTTTCCGCTGGCTCACTCCTGACGCCGCGAGGCGCAGCGCCCTGTCCCCGTGCAGGGCACCTGCCCCGAGCCCCCCCTCGGCGAGCAGCACCGTGGGGCTGTCCCCATGCCAGGGAGGTGGCCAAATCCTGCTGTCCCCCCCTGGGCACGGCAGCCAGAGCAGCCTCCAGAGCTGTGCCTGCACTCGGTAATGGTGGGACCGGGCAGCGAGCACCTTCTGTACCGCGACCTTCCAATATCTGAGGGGACCTACAGGAAAAATGGGGAGGGTCTCTTAATTGGGGAGTGGGGTAATAGGGACAGGGGGATGGTTTTATGCTGCAAGAGGGTAGATTTAGGTATTAGGAAGGGATTCTTTACTGTATTTAGGTATTAGGAAGGGATTCTTTACTGTATTTAGATATTAGGAAGGGATTCTTTACTGTATTTAGATTCTAGGAAGGGATTCTTTACTCTGCGGGTGGGGAGGCGCTGGCACAGGCTGCCCGGAGGAGCTGTGGGTGCCCCATCCCTGGAATTGTTCTGGAGCGGTCTGGGGGCAGCCTGGGCTGCTGCGAGGGGTCCCTGCCCATGGCAGGGGGTTTAACACGATGCTCTGAGGTTTCTCCCAACCCAAACCCCCCCTCCTGACCCCCAGAGGTGTGGGGATGCTGGGGTGCCCGTGGGACCGCGCTCATCCGGAGCCCGCTGGGACAGCGAGGAAGGCTCCGTGAGGGCACTTGGCAGGGATTTGGGGGAGCAGGGGACGGGACACCCCCCCGGGGAGCTGGGGTGGGCAGCATCCCCCCGGGGATGTTCGCGGCCCCCTGCCCGCGGGGACAGCCGCGTCCTCTGGGGGGAGCTGCGCGGCCGGGAACCGGCACGGTGCTGGGGGGAGCAGCCCTGCGCCCCCCGGCACCGCCTCCTTTGTGCCCAAAACCAGGGGAGAAGTGCGGGGCCGAGCCCCCCCGGACAAGGGCTTCTCGCCAGAGCAGCGAGGGTGGGAGCGGGGTGGGGATGCGCCACGGTGCCGGCCCCATAACGCAGGTTTTTGGGGCCAAAATGCGCTCGGGGGCTCGGTGAGGTCCTGGCGGGGCCGGAACAGGAGCAGACGTGCTGCCGGGGAGCGTGGGCTCCTGCTTACGGCCTCTCCATCCTGTCTGGTCACCCACACTCCCCCCTCGGCTCCCTTCCCAGCTCGGGGCAGCAGAGGATGCGGTGGTAGGAGCAGGTCACCGTGCAGGGCTCTGGGGGAAGCCAGCTGCTCCGTGTCTCCGCGTTCAAGGCTTGAGAGCCTCGGGGAGCCCCTGAGCCTCGGGGATGGATGGCACAGCCCCACGGCTGCCCCGTGTTCCCCAGGTGATGCTCGTAACCCCCAGCCTCCCGCAGGTGTTTGCAGAGCCCCCTCTCCCTCTGGTTTGCAGGGCAGGAGCCCATCAGTGTGCTCGGGCTCATCCTGGGCCTGGGGCTGGCCCTGCTGATCCTGGTGCTGTTTGGCTACGCCTTCGTCCGCTGCTACCAGCAGGGCCGGTGCTGGAGCCGTGAGTACAAGGAAAGGGGCTGCAGGGCCTGGGGTGTGGGGAGCACATCTTGTCGGTCCCCAAAATCCACACGTGGGGTGGCTCTGGAGCAAGGCTGGGGGATGCAGAGGCCAAGGAGGGATTTGGAGATGTCCTGGTGCTGCTGCTTGTCCTGTCCCTGCCCTGCACCGCAGCACCAGGCGAAGGCGAGTGCCCAGCCACGTGGCTGAGCACCGCAGGGCCCTCTGACAGCTTCTCCTTCCCTCCTCCCCAGGGCCTGACTTCGTCTTCAACCTCTACCACAGCCGGTAAGTGAAGCCACGTGGGGCACAGCCCCGGGGACCCGGGGCTCACGGGGTGCCCCCTGCACGGAGCTAAAATGCTCACCCTAACCCACCTATTGGGATACGGGCTTGGCAGTGCCTCCCCGGGATGATGATGCCCTGGGGACCCCCCCAGCTGCCCAAGGAGGCTCCGGCAGCCCCCTGATGCCTCTCCCTTCCCTGCAGCGGGCTGAGGTCGGTGGCGGTGGAGCTGGCACCACCATTCAGCATCAGCGGCTTGCTGAGCGAGGCGGGGGGCGGCTACGTGCGCTTCCAAGAGCAGAGGCTCTGAGGCTGGTGAGCAGGTAGGGCACAGCCCCGCTCCCCACGCGTGTCCCCAGCCACTTGTGGCCCCTCTGCAGTGCCGTGGCCCCGTGGCTGCCCTGCAGAGCCCACCCGCAGCGTGTGCGGGGCCGTGCGGCCGGCGGCGTTTGGGTGCTGGGTGAGAAACGCTGCGCCCCACTGCCTCCTTCCCCTCTTGTAGTCCCAGCTGTGGCTTTCCCTGGGATAGTCCCAAGGTTTTTCCTCCAAAAGTCCTCCCTGAGCCTGTGGGGCATCAGGGGTTTTCCCTGGGCTCTGGTTTTATTTCTCTCCTTGCAGGCTTTGGCCCGTGCCACAGCGCTCTGCTGCCTGTGCAGTGAGCTCCCCGTGCTGCTGCAGGGCGATGGGGGGGTTCCCTGGCTGCCCCCTCCCACAGCTTTTGGGATCAGCAGGGTGCCCTCAGGGTGGGTGCTTTGGGCTCTCATTGTGCCATCCCTGGCTGGGACAGCCCTGCAATGCTGTCCCTGTACCCTGTGGGACTTTGAACGGGCTCGTGGCCGGGGGCAAAGGGGTCCGGGGCTGCAGCACGTGTGCTCCCCATGCCAGCACGGCCCTGGCTGCTTCCCCCCTGCTGTCTCATCCCCACTGCCAGCGACCACAGAAAGAGCAACCAAAATCAGCCGTGGGGGAGTTCCTCTGTTCTCAGTTCTTCAAAAAACTGCCCCCAGATATGCTGGATTTCTACCAAAATTGGAACAGAGCAGTTTCTGTTCTACAGAGCTTCTTCATCTGCTCCCTGCAGCTGCGGTCCCCTCCCCGGCCATGGGGAGAGCTGCAAGGTGCCAGCTGCTCTCCTGGGGCTGGGGCACGGGCTCAGCCTCCCCTCGCTTGAAGTGGAGAAAACAGGGCTCTGCTTCACCCCAAGCACCCAAAGAGAAGCAAATTGTCCCCACGGTGCCCCGTGGCTCAGACATCCCAGCGCTCAGGCCCAGGCGGAGCAGGGCTGCAGAAGGGCGAGGAACTGCAGAGCCCGGCGCCGCAGAAAGGGCTGGCTTTGTGCAATAGGGGAAAACGCACAAGGAAATGAGACTGCTTCGCGTTTCCCTCAGCCAAATATCTGAGCCAATGTGGAAATTTCTGCCATCTGCACTGACCCTGTGAGCGAACACGTCAGAAAGCCCCTGTGGGTTGCCTTGTGGCTTTCTGGTGTGGCTCGCATGGGGCGCAGCAGCCTGGCACCGGGGGGCTCGGGTGCAGCAGGACAGGTCCCTGGGGCTGTATGGGGCAGCTCTGGGCTGTGCCAGAGCACTGGGCACACCGTGAGCCCACTGTGGGATGGGGATCAGTGCCCATGGCCTGGTGGCATCTTGGTAAGAAGGGGCCAGGACACCTTGCTCCTGTCCCACCGTGCGTGCGCTGCGTGCCCATGTCCTCGTAGCCCCCGTTGTGTGGGCACACATCCAGCCGGGTGCCCAGGGGGTGCCCAGCACAGCACCCTGTGCCAACATGCTCTGCAACCCTCATGGGAAGTGTTTCTGAATGTTTTTTTATGAATCATTTTCCTGGAAGGACAAGGAGAGTAGAGAAACTCCGGGGACCGTGTGGCTGCACGTAGGGAAACCAGCGAGAGCTGGGCGGGGAGCCCCAGCCTGCACCCCGGCCTGAGAGGGGCTGGGACAGGGGGTAAGGGGACCAAAACCACAGGGGATGAGGTCATGAGTGGGAAGAAAGTGGCCTGGAGGGGCCGAGGGGTGGCTGTGGGAGCCTGGGGGCAGCTCAGCTCTGCCCTTCCCCTGGGTGAGAGCTGAGCAGGGCACGGCTCCGCACAGCACCAGGAATGGGGCCGCACGAGATGGCCGTGCCTCCCCTCCATCCTGGGGCACGGATCCTGGTCTCTTGCTGCTTGTGCCATGGGCAGCAGGCGGTGGGATGGGTGGACACGTCCTGGGCAGACCCCTCAGCCTTTCCCCTCGCCTCTCCTCCCCCAGGCTGCTCCTCGCAGGGTTTGTTCCCGTGAGGTGCCGGTGGCATTGTGCCATTGCAAACGCTCTGGAAATGTTTGCGTGGGGAGGAAAGGTGCTTTCTCAGGTGCAGCCCCCACCCCCGGGCCGAGGTGCTGCGCCACACGCTGCATGGAGCAGGGGAGGGAGGAAAAAACCTCCTGCAGAGGGATTCGGAGAAGAACATCCTCTGCGTGTCGGGCTGTGACTTCAGCAAGGAAAATGTGAGTGCCCGGAGCTTTCACACTCAGCAGGACCAACGTGCTCTCAGCGACCAAAGCCGAGGTGTGTGGGTTTCTGGCAAGCTCATCCATCTCACTGAAAGGAGGGCCCCAGCTGCTCACCGGGGGGGGATTGCTGCGTCCCTTGGCCCCTGGGTGCTGCCAGCTGGAGCCTCTCACGGCGAGCAGGAACCGGCAGCACCCGGCGCAGCCTGGATCCGGCCACAGGGCTTGACGTCAGGAGTGTAAAAAAAGTCACGCCGAGTTCTGATGACTACGTTTTTCAGAGGAAGTCGAAGAAGAAAAAAAAAAAAAAGGAAAGAAAAAAAGCAAAAACCCCAACCCCAAAATACCTCAAGGAAAATAACGTGGAAATGGGAGGAGGAGTGGATGAGGGTGCGGGGGGGTGGCAGCATCTGGTCCCTGCAGCGGGTGGCAGAGCTGCCCGGGCAGCAGGAGTGCATCTCAGGGGCGATGAGCACCAGGCACAGAAGGAAGCAGCAGGGCATCAGCAATGCTCTGACTGCGGTGAGTCAGGTTTTCACCTGGAAAAAGTACTCCGAGCTGGGTTCACATCGCCACGAGGGACTATCCCGCAGTGAGCTTTCTGGGAAACGAGGTGTCTTTGGAAAAACTTTCCGGTGACCTGGCAGTAGGTGAAGGTAGCCTGCGGTAAGTCCCCCCCATTTCGCACTTGTTTCCACTCTCACAGAGAAGCAGTTTCCCCACACACACCCAAATTCTAGGCTTGCTCTGCCCTACCTTGGAGGTGGTCCTGCCTTCTCCTGCCTCTCCCCTGCACCACGCCCCCTGTAAAAGCACCACAGGGTGCTCAGGGCCCTGTTTTGCTGCAGCTTCCAGGGCAGCACACTCCTTTGGGAAAGCTGCCCTGGTCCTCGGAGGGGTGTGAAGCTCCAGCTGGGCTGGCTTTGCTCGCCTTTGCCTAGTTCTGGTGTGAAAACACTGCCCTGTGCAAGGCAAAACACGCTGCCCTTGTCCGCTGGGGGAGGATGCCACCTGAAGGCAGAAAGCCTTAGAAGGGGACGCACGACGAACGGAGCAAATAACCAACACTTCTTCCCTTCTCTATTTACAACTTAAATAGAATAAATAACATCTGTACGAGAAGTGGCCGGACAGTGAGCACAGAGCTGCGTGGGGCCGCCCTGGCTGGGCTCAGGTGACAGAGGGGCAGACGGAGCCCCTGCAGCACAGCCTGTCCCCGTGTCCCCTTAGTGTCACCTGGGGCTGGCTGGGAGGGCGCACGGGGGCTGCGCCTTGCTGGGAAACAGCCCCAGAAGGAGCAGAAGCGGCGGTCCTGGGGCAGTCCGTGCCGGGGTGTCGACATTCAGGGGTCAGCGGTAGCTTATCGGAGTAGCTGCTCCCGAGGGGCAGTGCTGGAGGAGGTAGATGGGCCGGGGCTGGTGGCACGGCTCACAGGCGGCTGTCCTTGTTGCCCCCATCGAGCACGCTCAGGGGGTCGATCTGCAGCGTGAGCCAGTCGTTGGTGCCGAAGCTGGAGGTGACCAGCGTCCCCAGGAGGTCAGTGTTGAAGATGCTCGGGTCGAAGGGGATCTTCAGGAGTTCAGGGCTGGCTTTGGAGGCCGGGGAAATAACTGGAGCCCCATAGCTCAGCAGAGAGGGGGCTTGGGGCCCCAGCTGGCTGCAGCAGTCCCAGACAGGGGGCTCCTGAGGTGTCCCCGGGGCAGCAAGGTCCAGTGCGTGGCTGCGGGGAGGCTGGGGAGAGGACTGCTTCAGGTACCCTTTGGCCACAGCCAGCTCAGAGCAGTCCATGTCCAGCACAACATCGGTGCCAGCCGGGCCCCATGGGGATCCTGCACATCCCGAGGGGGGCACCCCATGGCTCTGCTCCTGCCTTGGCTCCACCGTGCCCTTGGACTGCTGCAGGTACCCACGAAACTCCACCTCTTGCGGGCTGTCCTGCCCTGCAGCAGGGCCAAGGCTGGGCTCGCCTCCGTGCCCAGCACCCACGAGGCTGCTGGCGGGGTGCTGGAGGCTGTTCTCCAGGCCCACGCCGCTGTCATTGCCCACGGGCAGCTGCTGCTTGTAGCCCTGGCCCTCGGGGTGGCTCAGCTTGGAGGAGGAAGAGGAGGAGGAGGAGGAAGAAGAGGACGAGGAGGATGAGGAGGTGTGCAGGCAGATGCCGCTGTCAGTGCTGGTGCAGCTGCAGTCCCTGCTCCCCGCCAGCCCCAGGAGCTGTGTCCAGCCCTCGGGCCATGCCAGCAGCTCGCTGCCCGTGTCCAGGGGGGGCTGGGCTGTGCCGGTGCTGCTGGGGGCACCGGGCTGCTGGGGCTCCTTGTGGCACAGGAACAGCTGCTGGATGGGGTCTGCGTCCGTGATCCCCGAGGACAAGGACTCCTGCTCCACCCAGAGCGAGCTCTGCTTTATGAAATTCTTCTGCGAGGGAGAGGAAAGAGGAGAGTTAGCCTCACTTTGTCCCTGCTCCTAATCACTGCCCAAGCCAGCACAAAGGGTGCCTGCGTGCCTGGCTGCCTTACCAGGACGGCCGGCGGCCTCACAGATTTCCTTATGTACATGCAGGCCAGCACAGCCCCCAGGAAGCACGAAAGGAAGAGGATGATCAGGGTGGTGCTGACGATGTTCAAAACGAGCTCTGCGCTCCCTGCAAGAGAAGCCGTGCCTCGGTGAGCTGGGAACCACGGTGTCTGCGGCTCACATCGCCCTGCGGTGGGCACAGACCCCTTCCCTGGGGCTGGGGGCTGAGGGGGATCAGTGTCCCGCCAGGCACCCGTCCCCTGCTCCCCCACGTACTGTGTCTCCTGCCGATGGTGACGCACTGCTCGGGGGTGCGCACGGTGCGGCTGGCCCGGCTGGTCACCTCGGGCTCCACGCTGACGCAGTACTCAGTGTCCCAGACGAGGTCGGGGATGTGGAACTCCGAGCTGGTCTCCAGCAATTCATACTGCAACGAGAGAGCGGGCTGGTACCCGGGAGCTCCCGTGGCACGGCTGGGGCTGGGGCTCTCCTCCCTCCTCCTCCATCCCCTGGGCAAGGTCCCTTAGCAAAGCTGCTGATAGCAGCTAGACCCCAAACCCCCACGAGAGCCGGAGGACGCACTACGGTAAAACATTCAGAGGTAAAACACATCTATACACGTTTACATACATCTATGGTAAAACGTAGCTGTAATTTCTGGCTCAATATTGGAATTTATGGAGAACTCTACTTTACAAAATAAATCAAACTTTTAAAAGTCTTCCAACTTGAGCTGCACCGCATGGGAGGGAGGGTCCCCACGCTTGCCTGCAGGCTGAGGACCGCAGGGGAGCAGCAGCACATCTCACCGTGAAGTTGTCCTGCGTCCTCCTGACGTACACCTTGTAGCGCCTGGCGTGCCTCTGTATGTCCTCGTAGCGAACGGTGCGGTTCCCCACCCTGAACAACATCTGCAGCTGCATGTGGATGCTGTTGCCCAGCACGGAGAGGCTCTGGCCTGACAGACGCAGGCTGGCTGGAGACGAGGGATTTTAAAGAGCGGGTCAGGGTTGTCTCCTGTCTGCTGCTCTCAGAGCTCCTGCACAGCCTGGTGCTGCTGTGCTGCCAGCCACCCTGAGCTTTGCCCCATCCCAACCCACCCCACGGACCAGCTGCCCTCCAGGAAGCCACAAGGACATTGCCCCCATGCTCTCATCTCTCCCAAAGCAGGCTGGCCCCGTGCCCTCCACCTACCTTCCCTGGGGGAGAAAGAGCTGCTCCTCTGCCACAGGGACGTGCGGTTCCCGGACACGGCTCGCACCTGTGAGAAGTAGCGCTGCTCGGGGTCCAGGGTGTAGTACGTGAGGTCGCAGCTGAGCTCCTGGATCCTCATGCAGTTCGGGATGGCCATCCAGGAGGAATTGGTGCCGTAGCTGCCGGGAGAAGGGCCTGGGGTGAGCGTGGTGCTGGCGTGGTGCTGGCTACTGCCGCCGGTACCGATCCTGGGCAGACAACCCCCGTGTCCCAGGTCACCCTACTCACACTATGTGCTCCACTTCGTAGCTGACATTGCTGGGGGCGTCGTGTCCCGGCTCCCACCGCAGCAGGTGATATGCCATCTCCGTGTCATAGCGTACGGCCCTGGGTTTCGGCAGCATCTCACCTGCAGGACCGATGGCATCAGGCGAGGCTGCCCCGAGGGCTCCCGGCCGGGGCCACCTCGACCCTGGGTGTCCACCCAACCCCCGAAATGCTGCAGGCTCAGGCCCAGGCAGGGGTTTGCCCATTTCTGTCCCACACTTCAGCATTTGCTCATCCCCCCTCTTTCTCTTCCCCTCCTGCAGC